AGGTCACGAGCAGTTGTCCAAGCATTTCACTGCATATCGTACTGTGTATGACTGTGTATGTGACAAATAAAATTTGATTTGATTTGATTTGATTTGATTTGCTGATAGAGATGAGCAGCCACACGCCTTAGTGAAAAAGATCCACCCCAACCTGACCGTCATTCACTGCATCAATCACAAGACTGAACTTGAAGTCCATGAAGGTGCAAAAAGCGTTACAGGGCTGAACCACTTTCACACATTTATCGACTCTCAGACTGAAAGTCTGGTGTTAAGCTCAATAAATAAAGACAGTCGCCTCATTCTCAGCACGAGTGTGGGTAAAAGAGGAGCCACGAGCTGCAGATGATGCAAAAATGCCTTAATCGAAGCAGAATGTTTATTTATTATTTGTTTAAACTGACAGTATTTTGTTCTGTTCACCTAATTTCAGATTAAATAATGATGTTAAGTGCAAATGGGATTTAATTCTGTTACACTGTTTGTATTATTAGGTGTGAATGTGTCACCTGTGTCTGGAGAGGAATGCATAGACTGAGACTACTGCGCATACTAATTTAATTTTAAAAATACGTTATAATATACTCAATATGCATAATTGAGTGTACTTGTCATCACTCGCAGCCTGGACCCAATTCAGGGGCCACAACCTTTGAAGGACTCGAGGCTCCTGCTGCCTAGCAACGTAAAGCAAAACGTCTGTCCAAGACTAGAGACATCTTGGACAGAAGTGGTGGAGAGAGAGGAGAAAATGCTTGTCTTACTATTATATTTGATACATTTGGCTTTTTGAGACTTCAGACTAAAAAATCCAAAATAAGTTGCAACATTTATTTTTGAGCAATAAAATGAAAAGAAATGACCAGATATAGCAAATAATATACAAATTAAAACACATATATGCAAATTAATATTGAATTTGCATACAAGAATTCAGTAAACACTCTATTTTCAAAAATATTGGAATTTTCTAGTAATTATTTAATGGTTCGAACTATAAAGAACCATTTTGTTTTGCTGTTATAGGAGAAAATTAAGCTGTTTCACTGTTACATGATGTACCTGAGGCTGAGAGAAGTTTAAACTCAAGCTATAGGCTCTGTGAGGCTGCTCTTACAGCAGTGCTAAATGCTAATTTCAGATGACTAACATCCGAATGTTTAGAAGTGCTAGGTTATTTCTGCTGTAAAACCCGTCTCAGATTTCAGGACTGCCTCGTGCTTTTCCTGTTTTCGATTGCAGGTCAGATGTCTGAAGATATCATAGAACAACAAATGTACAACATATATATGTAACAGATATTCAGTACTAGTCATTAATAAAGCTACTTCTTGCCCACCGTTAACATGCAGTCAAACCCTGACTCCAGCTTTGCCAGTGCCCACAGGCAGCAGCAGTCCTTGCTCGCTCTCTGAGGCTGCAGAGATAATCTGCTTAGCCAAGCACAACTGTGAGGACTGCGCTCTGCTCGCTCCATGATATCCAAATGGATCGAGGCCTTAAAATACTTCTGCTGGTGTGCCCTGGTGACTGAGAAGATTAGAGAGCTGACCCAGGAACCCATCCCAGGGGCTGAGGGGCAGAGAGGACAGGAGTGTGTTTAGACTAACTGTACAGGAAGAGCTAAATAGTTAGAGGCCTACCTTTTGACGCAGTAATAATCTTTGAGGTTTTATTGCTTAATGCAACTTTAATTGTGATTTCAGCACTGCAGCTCTGCTGCAAAACAGACCCTATCAATCCCAAAAGCAATCTTGTTTTATTCCCCTGTGCTGCTTAACACCTCCATAACAATATGCAACAGTATGCTCCCTTTAACTACTATCCTTTCTATGGGTTATTGAACGCAATCCTTTTTTTTTTAGTTGTCCACCTTTACAATCTGTCTCTATGTCTCCACGCTTTCCTGTCTGTCTTTACCCAACCATCTGGAAAAACAAATAAAATAGTGATTGGGAACAGGAGGCCTCTGTGAACTGAGGACACACAAAATAACGAGCTGAGAGTGAGAGAGGCGCCTCTTTACGTTGCTGCTCTGCAATATGATTGTTTTTAGTGTCAGCGCGAGGCTGATAAAGGCTCGAGTGCTGATGGGAAGGACTGGGAGGGGGATATAAATAAATAAGGCATTGAGATGTGCCCTTGTTTTCTCTCCTCTGACATGGTGCCAGCAGCGTGGGATTGGGGCACAAAGACACATTCAGTACAGTTGTCGGAGCTGACCCCTGACACACACACATACAGACTGATGTTTTACCCAAAGCACGTTTCATCCTCTCACAAAGTTTATGCATCATCCAGTCCTCCAACACTTGTTCAAAACGTTGAGTCCTGATGTACAGAATCAACAAATGGGCACACGTACAGATTATCCAACTGGAATGACTGCTGCGCCCACAAACTCACGTTTGTTTTTACCATTTTCAAACCAAATTACAGACCAAATAATCAATCAATTAAGAAATTTTTCACAAAGCTGCCAGATTACAGCTGAGTAATTAGTCTCATGTAGGAGTGTAAGCTTCAACCTTGGGCTTCAAATTTAATTCCATTAAATTTAAGCTTCTGCTTTTAAGCCTCTGCAGCAGCATTTGTTGCAAATCACTCAGTCTGAAAGGACCAGCTGAATGCATGAAGTGAAAATATGATACATGGATCAGGTGCCAGAAAAAGGCTCTGTGGGATGCTGTTCCAGCTATTGTTGACGTATAGCACACTATGATATTAAAGTGCCCTTGTGGGCTGATTTTCAGGGGCAGGATTATACAGGGAATGCTATGCATCTACTCATAGGTCATATTTAATCCACGTGGAGGTCTCTTTGTGTATAGTCTCTCTGATGAAAGATCACTTAATGTAAACTGTGTACAAGTCCATGTCAGTGGCTTTAGATTGAAATCAGTGCAGTGACAGGAGGGGAATGTGCCAAGGCTGGAGTATTTGTAAAGCCTTCAGAAAATTACACCCACATTGTCTGGTTGAAGCTCACCAAATGTGAGATTTAGTTAGTTTCATTAGTTAAATAACCAGCTTTTTTTTTTTTTTTTTACAATAGACAAAACAAGACATTCACAGGCTAGAGCCCAATCAGTACTTGCCTTTTTTTTTGGGGGGGGTGACACCGGTTGAGCCCCTGACAACCTCTGGCTGCTAGAGAAAAATATTTATTTTCCAACTGGTATTTCCAACATTGATGGTGGCTCTGCACCAAAACCATCCGTGGGATTAACCTGGTTGCAAGCAGATTGCTACAGTTGCTGACTTGTCTGCAACCACTTGGCAAATAATGTTTGCGAAAGTTGAAGAAGCGTGACACAAACTGGAAACGGACTGTTTGACTTCAAAGCTTCTGAAACGTGTTGGTAGCAGCAGTAAGGTTTTTTTGTCGCACTTTTCAGTCTTATTACGACTCAGCAAGTAGCTGAAGACTGTTTGGAGACAAGCTGTTGTTTTTCATGCTAACTTAGGCGACCACAATCTGCTAGTGAGTCCCTGAGTGAGTCCTGACTGGTTCAGAATTTGCGGTCGTTCCATTGGGTCATGTAACCTTCAAATAGCTACCCCAAGTGCTTAGCAGGCAGGTTGAATGTGTGCTGATTAAACAGACTTCTTTTTTAACTTCTTAAAACAGCATCTCAAACCTATCTGCTGCTATATTTCTATGGCGCAGCTAGCATATGTTGCTAACTTTTGGAACTATTGTGAGGCTCCATGATCCACCACTAATGTAAAAAAAAAGAAAAAAAGATGTCCATTCAGCAGCTAGTGCCGCAATCACAACCAATATCACCTAGCAACTACCAGAACCCACTCACCTGTTAGGAATAACCATTTTTCCCTAGCAATCAGTAGTTTCCCAGGAGTTGCTGACCAGTCTCTAGCCCTGTGTGACTGAGGCCTTATGTATTTATATTTAAAAGGTAAAATGATGTGGCCATTGTTTCAAACAAAGTGCATCCTCTACTAACCAGCGACTAGTACTAATTTACTATTTACTAATTCTTTTACCTTTGGCTATAGTTCACATTTAATGTGTGTATGGAAGTAAGAGTATGCTTGAGAAGCTGGATAACCATACATCTGACTCTGTATTTTCATGTACTACACAAACACTTTTCTCATGTATGTTTTATCCAAACTGTGAAGCAATTTGTGCACTTTAAAAATGTGCTAAACAAAAAAAACATATTATTATTAAAGACTAATTAATTGTCTTTAAAAGACCAATAAACTGGAAATTTGATGAGCAGAAGAACTGAAATGTGAGAGTGACTGTGTTTGACATTTTCAAACAGCTTCCAAAAACAGAACAACACTCATGCTGGTGGGTGGACATGCTTGTAAGTCATTTTTGCAAAAGCAGCATTGTCTGTGGGATGCTGACGTTCAGAGAAACTGCTGACGCAAAATGTTTGCACTAATAAAACCTCTCTGGCAGGAAAAAAAAAAAACCAAAACAAATTGCATAAATGATCAGTTGACTGGAAGAGCTGATCACAGCCATCCAGACAGGCTCCGGTGGCGTGGATGTCAGAAAGAAAACCCAAGTTTATCTACTCCTTCATCTGACTCTATGCCTCTCTGATCCGCCACGGGGTCGTTTGAGGTCACCGAGCTGTCCATTCTGGTCATTTCTGGGTGTCATCACAAAAGGCTACATGCAGCGAGTCTCACCAGCCAAAAGGGCCCTTGTATCCAAACAAAAAAAAAAACAACCTTTGTTATGTAACACACTGATGCTGCTGCTGCTGCTGTCTCTGACAGTGATCGTGCAGGAGAAAACCAGAGGGGGGGGGGAAGCGATGCCAGGTGAAAATGACTTGGACAGAGAGTTGAAGGGAAGGGTGAAGAAAAAAGGGAAGAGGTGGTGTTGGATGATTCGCTGCTGCCCACGAGCTGCACCATCACGATTTCTGTACTTTGTGTACTTTCATCTCGCTCTCCATTCACTGTTACACCGAGGCCACGCAGCTTACAGCAGCATGACATCACTGACTACTCCCACCATCTCATTAAACCACATTGATGGAAGTGATGCTCCTGCTTCTCAGACTCTTACACATATGCATGCAGCTGCTCTCCTGCCCCTCTTTGGCTTGGTTTCATGTGCTTGATGTGTAGATGTTATTTCTAAAGCTCTTCCTGTAAGTCAAACCTGGCCAATTGCAGGCATAACACACTGTGCACAACTTTCGTCCGGGCAGGATCATCTTTCAAGGCCTGCAACTCTGACCCTCCTCTTCGATCCCTGGGTATCGAGCCCCCACATAATCATTAGGGATGTGCGTGCGCGCTCTGCAATGAAAATAGATCGCAAACAGTGGAAAACAAGGCTGTGCCTCGATATGGGGTTCCCGATCTTCATCTCATCCGTATGAACTCTCGCGGACGTTATTTACTAGATTTCTGGGATTAACATGAGGCACCCCCACCTGCAGGTGAGGCTCAGTCATGTGTGTCTCATCACCTGAGGTAACACCTAAGTAAGGGTTTACAGTGTGGGTGTGTGTATGAATCAGGTCACAGGCAGTGGCGCACTTTATCTGGGGCATAACTTCAGCCACCACACAGAGCACAGATGGCGGGGATGCCTCGGCTCAGCAAGACTCTCTCTCCCTCTCTCTCTCTCTCTCTCACACACACACACACACACACACACACACACCGCCTTTAAAGCTTTAAAATCCGCAGTGACTTTAGCAGGTGATTGTCGTCAGCATGTGATCACGTGAGCGTACATTACACGATAACCCGCATCGATCACTGCTGACGTGCACCGCTACGACCGGGGGCGCGCGCACGGGGATGATGGCGCAGACGTGCAGCAGTGCCACAACAAAAACAGCATGTGTCCTAATAATAAATAAAATACTACATACTGTAGTAGATACTGTAACCACAGAGAGCAACTCTTCAGCATCCCGTCCGCAAAGCAAACAGGAAGAACAAACCTGCAACAGTTACCTAATGCACGTAAACAACGCAAGACATCATAAACTTATCTTTTATATTGTCATTTTACAGCACGTGGGTCTGCAGTTAAAAGTTGACTCGGTTAAAGGCGTTGAGCATAAATAGGTCGATGCTTGAAATGGGTTAAGAGAGCAGTGTGAAAACAATAAGTAACAAATGCACCGGAGAGGAAAAATAACGCAGACGAAATCATCTTACCTTTGAAAGGAAGAAAATGCGGGTCTCCTCCACGTAGCCTAGAAAATGTGGCACGTCCTCGTTTTTCCTCGTGGCAGTGCCAATCCTAAAACCTCTTTCGCATTCCTTCCCAGGCAAATTTCCTCTCTTCTCTGGCCCTGGCAAGTCCTGCAGAGACGCAATGTTTTGACGCGCAACGATGCCCAGCAGAGTTTAGAAAGCGACAGAGAGCAGTGGAACTTCCAGCCGGAGCGAGAGCATTCACTCCTACCTACTTCCGTGTTCGCAGTAAACCGTTATTCCTTTTACACGGCTTTACCCATTAAAGGGAGCGTAGTCAGTTGCTGATTGATATTAGTGTTACTCCATATCACTTGGAAGTTTAAGAATAGTGTTTCCAGTATACCATAAGGAAACCGTTAAATGTATTTCGAGCTAAAAAAATTACTTGGTACGGTGTCGCGCATGCTCAGTATAGGTGCATTGCTTTTTTTTTTTTTTTTTTTTAAAACATAACTATTGCGAAATTGATTTTACAGACTGAATTTATAAATGATGGGGATTCTTTAAATATATAGTTTTGTTTATATTTATTGTTATGTGCTTTAACAAAAGCGTTTTATAGGCCGTAACATGGGAAACTAGCTAAAAGGGATGCCGCATTTAGGGGAAAAACCTCCAACAGCATCCTTTCTTTTCTAAACACATTCACGGTTACTGTAAAACTTAGATGTTCGACTTATTTGCAGTGCAACTAGTAACATCCAAATAGCAAAACTGGTAAACACAAACTCTGAAAAAACGGTAATCATCTTGAGTTGATACTCTTGGTCTCAAATCACACTTGTCCTTAAGGCTTGATGAATAAATGACAGGCTTATCGGCCAATCAGTGAACAGATAAAGCATAGCAACACCGTGTTTATTGGTCAAGAGTAGAAACGATGAACCAATAATCTTTCCGGGTTCTAACTTTTTTTTTCCTAAATGAATTCTCTAGAAAGCAGTTCAGCTACCTGCAAATATTGTTTAATGAAGCTGCCTCGAGCAGGACAACACAGCATAGGCATCACCTGTTCTTGTGAAAAAGTAGGAAATTATTATTTCAACATGTCCAGCATCATTAACTTTTCGCGACAGTAAAAACTTCTGATGTCGTTTTAGTTTGCAGCGCCACCTCCTGCCAGTTACATAAACTACGACATAACACAACCCTACAAAACGACAAATACCACTTTTATATAATGATGTACATACAGTGTTTATTGATACAGATACAAAAAAATTGCTCTTTAAATAATCTGTCTCTCGGCAAATCAAATCTAAAGATGAGCCCAAAAAAGTTCAGTTCAACACACACAACAGCTTTAAACATGCAAAATAAAAGTACACTCAGGACAGCACGAGTAGTATAATCAGAAAAATCCCAGTACTTGTAATGTGATTGTTGGATCAAGTCTCTAAAAGAAATCTTCAAGAACATTTGTAAAAACTGTAAAACATCACACATAAGTGATTTAAAATGCCCCACAACAAACCTAACATTGTTTTGACTGCAAAAATCCCAAACAACATACAGTACATTCAGCCAAAACCACATTCATGCGATTAGAGACCGCCACCGAGCATCATAACATTTCATATATTTGTATATTAAAGCAAGGAACTATGTGTAAACTACTTTCATTAACACATTTGAATTTTAAATGAGTGCAGTAAAGCAATCAGTCTGCATCACTGCCTATACTAGGCTGTAAAATATTTTAAATATACACATATGTCATATAAAGTTCAATGCTGATTGCAATCACACTAACACAGGTAAAAGAAACCAGATAAGGTTTCATATTTTGTGCAAAATTCTTCATAAAACAGGCAATGTATGCCTCTATTATTTTATCTGATCAAAAGGAAACAAAATAATGAGAAAAAAAATCTAGACACTAAACAATAACAGAAACATGAGACACAGCATACAGGACAGTGGTTTTTACAGTGCGGCGCACAGCTGAAATTAATCCGTCTGAATGTCCGGTTAACTGTTCCTCACCTGGTGCATCAAATAATATTTAATGTAGTGGAGAAATTTTGTTTTGTTTGACTGCATTTTGGGAAAAAAGGTTTCACCACTGCTTAGACGTGGCAAATATATATATATATATATATATATATGAAACAAGTCGAAAATAACATGACATCATCGAGCTGCATCTGCTGGTGCTTGCACATTACCCCTAGCATGATGCAGTAATACTGCAAACTGTAACTTGAAAGCATCAAAAAGGATTGAGTTTGCGCAAGTAAACCCTTACAGAAAGTGTCAAGTCAAGGACCATGAATCTATTATGGCATCTGAGACTGATAAAACTTAAAAGCACAATATTTCAGTGGCATTTTTAGCTCTTTGTAAAAAAAAGATTCAGTGGTTTCAATTAAGTGTGTGCTCCTAGCAGAAATATCATACTGTTATATGGGTATGTTTGTGCAAGTGAACGCACCATGGATAATTCTAATAATACTAATAATAATAATGAGCCAGGATTTTTTTGTGACTAAAAGAAAACATTCAGATTTCATCATTTATGCATCTAAAATATTGTAAATGCATGCAGTATATTTGTGTTATAATGGCAACAATTCTTATTAACTTTTTCAAAATATACTTCAGTCGTAACTTACCAACTTACTGTGAAGACATCACATGACTGCACCGCCATCTGCTGCAGTCATTGCTGAGAGGATTGTAAACCAAATTACCCAAATACGTCTTCATTTTGGGTCATATAAGAAAATCTGTAAGCCTGAGGCGATATACTGTCTCTGTGACGGGGCCCAATATCAGTCAAGCTCTAATATGATCACACTGTTTAGTATGAGTAATGAAAAACAGGAGTATGTGCTACCACCACATGTACAACACGCGGTTCCTAATACTTGTGCTGGATACAGAGCATGTTGGAGTTCCTACAGACTGTAAAACACAGTGTGAGAGTAGCTGTGCTGGAATGGCTGCAGTAAAAGCGGGTGCATGTTGGGGGTTGGTCTGGCAGGTCAGTGGCCCTGAAGGATAATCACTGGTGAGAGGTGGGGTGAGGTAGATTTTGGCAGGTCACTCCGCTTTGGAAAGGCTGTTCCTGTCCATGAAGTCTTTAAGCTTGGTGGGAAAATCTGTCATAACTCCCGTGGCTCCCAAATCAAACGCCCTCTGAAAGTCATCCTCGTCATTCAGCACCCAAATGTACACCTGAAACCACATGAGGGATTTGTACAGTTAATACACACGCGGTCAGAGGCTGTCACACACAGGAATGTTTCTGTACTCTAGTCTATATTTGATCTGGTAGGAACCTTTCCAGTAACTGCTTTTAACCACAGTGTAACTACAACAAACACACAGGCTTAGTTCTGGCATTTTACAAAAGTTTTACACACTGTTAGAGCAAAACAAGGCACACGGAAAGTAGTGACAGTAGTAGTAGCAGTCTTCAGGAACAGTTCTCCCGGCTTCTTGAAGGACATTCAAAGCTCTTCTTTGGATGTTGGCTACCGTTTGCTCTATTCTCTGTCAACATGATCCCACACTGCCATGTTTTACAGATGGCTGTAGACTCTCAGTGTTGTACCTCTTGACCTCCTCCATACATGCACTAGGACTAAACCATGGTTTTTAATGTGGGATTCATGAAACTACCATTTTATCTTGCTTTTCAGTTATTAACCTGTGCAGACATACAAGTGTACAGTACTATAAAAGACCATGGGGACGATGCTGTGTGTAGCTTGAAAGCCAGGAAGCACAAAAAACCCTCAGTCAGCATTGTTTGTGGCTGGCTGGTTGTTTGTGACACTGCCCCCTGGTGACAGTACACAACTACAACATGCAAACCTGTGCGTAGGCTCTGATCAAGACCAACGCGCAACCATCCCCTTTACGTCAACCAATCTTGGAAATTGTTCCAGGACTGCAAATAGAAACTTGGCAGAAGATGTGCCATCTGCCTATCGCTACCACAGGCTAAGTTCAACCAGTAAGGCCAGTGAACCATAAGAGACTGAGACCAAAGAAAAGGAAAAACATGCTACAACACCAAGACTTTTGTATCCATGTAATCAGGTAAGGAAATTCCGATGAACCAGCCATCCATTCTAACCTCTAAAACACTTCCATAGCTCCTCATTTACTGGCCAACGGTTCCTCACAGGAACCTGAATCAACTTAATTTTAAAGGAACTGCAGTTTTACCTGAATTCCCCGAGCTGTTAAATGGTCAAAAAGAGCTTTCCTCATCAGCAAACTGCAAGAGAAAAATAAACACTAATCAGCTGTGTGACTGTAAATCCTTTGTATTTTAATCATGATGGCACAACTACATCTCAGTAACACAGAGAAATACAAAAAAAAAAAGCCTAGTGCTGCTGCAGGTTTATCTTTTGTTGAATTTTCTGCAGATTCAACCACAAAAATCAAAGAGATTTTACATTTTTGGAGGAGAGAGCGACTTACGTGTCTGCCAGCCAGGCGATAAATCGCTGACCTCTAGTTAACCTGCTGGGATCCTGCAGTCTGAAAAAATTCACACAAAAAAGTAAAATAATTAAAAATGGTAAAAAAACAAAACAAAAACAAAGGGCACTTGATTGATGCTATAACAGCATGACAACATATTTTTAGGAAATTTCTGAAATCTACCCAAGAAAATTAATAAATCAGTGTTTAAATATGCACAAGAAATCAAGGCAATCTCTTAATAAACACAATTTATGGTTGCAGTCTTAAAGCAAGAACTTAACACTTTAGAAGTGCAAAAAAATTCTGCTAATCCTTAATGAGCGTTGGGCAAGAATAATCTGCTCTTTGACCATGATCCTCATGTTCCACTAACACACATTTCACAAGGCCAAGCTGTGCAAAGGAAACAACAGACAAGCCTGTATATGTTATCCAAAAACTCCAAAAACAAGGCCCAGCTAATGAAGACTCCTCCAGAGGTTTACTCCACATCCCGATGCTTACACAGTATGAAACTTCAGCTTTGCACGTCTCTGTCAAAGCTCTACTTCGACTGTTTGATGAGCTGCTGCTGTTTGCTGAAGGACTTTTCTCTGCAAACAGACCTTGTTCCAGGAATTTTTACTCACATAATGATAATCATAATGGTCAATAAAGAACCTTTAAACTGTTGCAAGTCAGACGGCGACATTTCAGTTTCACCTGCAAACTGAGATCAAACCACAGCACTGACAACTTTCTCCAGCCAATAAACCAGCAGCAGCTAAAACACAATGCTGCCAGATTTTACACTACTAATTATTAATAGTTTGTGTTGACACTGCAGCATAGATTACTTTAATCATTTATGTTAACTAAACTGTAGGTTAGTTAGGGTATAAAAAAAACCTTAACCCTGCTCTGAATCACTGTTATTTCATGTAGGGCCTGTTTCGTGACTGTATTAGTGAGGGTGGAAGCATGCTGCTGAGCTAACCCTTTCCTGAAAACTGTTTATCAAAGTTCCTGACATGCACCTTTTATTTCTTTAGTACCACATTCCCTGGCCACTTTATTAGGCACACCTTGCTAGTATTTGGTAGGCCTCCCTGTTTCCTTCAGAACTACCTTAATTCTTTATGTCGTAGATTCAACAAGGTCATGTAAACCAGTGGTCCCCAACCCCTGGGCCTCGGACCGGTACCGGTCCGTGAGTCGTTTGGTACCGGGGCGCGAGAGTTGAGGCTCAGGTGTGAAATGTATAGTTTTCAGGGTTTTTATCGTTTTCAGCGTTATTTTGTTATCGTTTTTATCGTTTACTCGGTTTTCCTTGGTCTTTTCACGTGTGTTATGAATAAATTTTCTTTTTTTCGGTACCGGTACTAGTTTTATTTTGTTGTATTTATCCGCGACACCTTAAAGGCCGGTCCATGAAAATATTGTCGGGCATAAACCGGTCCGTGGCGCAAAAAAGGTTGGGGACCGCTGATGTAAACGACCCTCAGATAGCATCCCATGACAGCAGCAGATTTGTCGGCTGCACATCCATACTGAGAATTTTTCCTTCCATCACATCTCAAAGATGCTTTGCTGGACTGAGATCTGATGACTGTGGAGGCCGTCTGAGAGCAGAGAACTAACTGCCAAGTTCAAGAAGTTTGAGATAATCTGAGCTTTGCATTATGCTGCTTATACTGTTATACTGTCACATGATTGGCAGCAAATCACTGCATCAGAACAGGTGTACCTAATAAAGTGTCCATAGAGCTTATTACTAGTATTTGGTTACATGAACAACAAAGTGCAAGGGATTTGGGTGTGTGACTGTGTGTGAAGGAAACTCAAATACATTTCCATTTGCTCACTGTAGTGGATGCAAATCCACCTCCCTGTGTGCTCACTGCCCTGTCAGAATACCAAACAGCCTCTCAACTGTCATCAGTCCAGAGTGTAGAGAGACTTATTTGAATGTCAGCAGGTCTTCTTGATGATTTCTACATGCATTCAGTTGGTGTAATGTGTTTGGATGATTAGATATTTGTATTAACAGGCGTACCTAATAAAGTGGCCTTTGAGATTATTTGTATTGGATTCGCGCACTTACTTGGTGATAATGGAGGGCATGGGGATCTCCAGGAACTGCTCCTTGATTGGAACGAAGGGCAGGAGGCCGGTGTAGAAGAGGCCTAACAGCTGCAACACTCTGGGCAAGCTGAACAACACTGGAATATGAGGGTTCTGCAAAAACAACCAACCAGACCAGACTTACAAGCAGTTCCAAGTCATTTTTATTCACCGAAGAGGATGATGATGGCTTATGACGATAAAAGTGTTTCCTCTAAAACGCCCTCAAAGGGTCTGAACATTTTTAGAAACAAGACAAAAAGATGAATAGTGATTCCACAAAGCATTTAAAATACTGCTATATGGGACAGATTTAGCACTTTTCCTGTAGGCCTGCTGGTAGCAGGTTATTCCTTTGTTGTTATGAAATTCTGTAATTTCATAACAACAAATTTTATAAATAGCTACACACATTTCACCAAAGTAATGTGAAGCAGCATATAGACGTACCTCTTTGTAACACTTTCTCACAATCTGGTTGCTGGCGTTGCCCCAGACAGTCAGATGCGCTCGGTCATACTTCACGACCAGCTCGGAGACCTGCAAGGATTGAAAACTCAATGAAACTATGAAACAGAACATTTTCTCTTGCTTTTGCTCTGTCCTGTTGCCAATGTTTAAAACTTAGAATTTGTTTTTTGATGAAAAGACGGCGGCAAAACTCGTAAAGTCTCTAGACGGACACTTGGAGGGCAGAGTCCCAATAACAAGGCCAACGTCCTCTTAAATTAGATCAGTTCAGGATGTGAACAGGTTATTCCTGTCTACATTTTTTCCCCTCTTCATCAGGTTTGTACTGTTACTTTATGCATGATTGTGGTGACAGACAAATAAAAGGGACTTAAAAACATATCTCAGTCTTGCTTATCTAACCATCGTACTTTAGGAAATGCTTCACTTTCCTTTCCTTTACTAGGCACCATGGGCTTTGTAACTATGGAGGACTATTATTTTCTTAAACAGGCTGTTAAGTCGATACATTTTCGGACAAGGGTACATTTCTTTTAGTTGTCATCACAGCATATTTTAAATCAAGATATGATTGAAGCGGCGACTGGGTGTGCATCTTGGAAAAACCTGGAAATTATTCTAATTAATGTCAAAACACGTTTTTATTAATACATAATAGGTGTCAAAACCCATCATTAGTGTACAGGGGAGGCCAAATTTCATCTTTATGGGAGAAAGAGTTCACCGTTTGGAATTATAGCCATTTTTAAACACTGCCTTCTTCAGTAGCCTAAAAGTAAGTGAACAGATGATGAGATGTCCCTCGTGATTCCACGAGAGACACAAAATCTGCATTTGAGTCCAAGTGCTGAACTTGCAAAAAGTATGAAGAAGGAAAGAACAACTCAGAATCTAAAGCATCTAAAGAATCTGTCAAGGACGGTGGAGGTAGTGTTATGGCTCCCAGTGAAGCCGGTTCCCTGGTGTTTATTGATGACGTGACTGCTGAGAGTAGCAGCATGATGAACTGTAAAATGTACAGGGATGTACTCTTTTCTCAGATTCAGCCTGAGGCTCCAAAACTGATCGGTTAGTGTTTCACAGTACAAAGTGATAATGACGTAAAGCATCCTGTAAAAGCAACCCAAGAGTTTCTCGATGAAAAGAAATTAGATATTCTTTAAAGTCAGTGACCTGATCCCAACTCAAAGGTGCCTGTTTTTCAATAACCAAAGACAAGAGTGACAGAAGACCCACAGACAGGCAGCAACTGAAGGCAGAGGCAGTAAAGGCCTAGCAGAGCATTTTAAGGGACTAAACACAGCATTTGGTGATGTTTATGGGTTCTGGACTCCAGGCAGTCACTGACTGAAGTATTAAAACAATCTAAAATGATGTTAGTTTGTCCAGTTCTTTTTGAGCCACTGAAAATCAACTATGTATAAAAATGGCTGCAATTCCTAAAATGTTTTAATGCAAATTTTTCCAAAAAACACAAATTAAAACTGCAGTTTGATCTAAAATCCACTAAAGTGATGCACAGAGGCAAAACTACAAAAATGGTGTTACTGTCCAAAAAGCTATAAGGCTAACTGTACACTGTTTCCTGCACAAGGAAATAACCACAAGCTGCATGTCATCAATACAGTAAAGCAAGTTTCAGTCAGGGGTCAGAGAACTGAAAGAATAAAAACAGGATGAGATACACACACAGACAAACAAACACACAGATCAAACAAACACACACACACAGACAAACACACACACAGACAAACACACACACACCTTCTTGATGAGCGTGTCATTGTTAACCTTGATGTCAATGTTAACAGGAGTGTTGGGAAATGCGTCAAACACGTCCCTGAGGAGAGGGATGCGTTTGTCCTCTCCTCCTTCGCAGAAGCACTCTGCACAGACAAGGACAGGTTAAAAACACCATCAGCTTCAGATTAGACGCCGGGTTGTGCGCACTTGTATTTTTAGCGGCAATTTTCTGCCCGTCAGCTGTCAACTGTTATAACCTAAAATGTCGATTTATGTCACCTATTGAATGAATACGTTGCTTCGTGGTAATTACACAAGTGACAGATACGTGATGCTCACCTCGCTGAAAGGTTACACCCAGCCTGCAGAGGTATGGAGGGAGTTCCTGCAAAGAAAGCACGACAGACACAACTTCAGAGCTTCTGGAAACAAAGCAGTCATGCTGAGCAGCCGTCCCCAAACTTAAGACTTCCAAGGTCAGCTGTGAAATCTGAAAATCCTCTGCAGACAAACCTTTAAATCTGACCGTTGCACAAGTCACTAAAATATATGTGTTTTTATTTATGGAAGGAACAACTGTTTCCTGTTCCATCAAAGCAAATGATGACAATAATTTGTTTATGTATACTGGGTGTTTTTTATTGTCTTTGTAGGGATTTCAGAAATGTTGTTCATGCATATTAACTGAAAGATTTTTTTAAGAACAAGAATTAAAATACTCAATAAGAATGTTAGTAAATGTTTAAAATAATACTCTGGCCAATAACTGAAGCCCATATTTTAGTGTCTTGTTGTTTTAAATATATATTGATTTCTTTATTACCTATTTTGTGCTGGAGAAACAGAGAAATCTTCTTTATATAAGACAACTTCTTCAATCTTACCTCCACCTTCTTTTTAATTTGTTTAAGCAAAGATTGATGTGATTTATATATACTGTAAAGTAACACACCATATAAACCACTGACACTGGTGTTTTTCATCTTATTTGCCAACAGCCAGCCATCAGTCAGGAAGGCTGGTATCATTGTTTAGATGAGATCAGTTAAGATAATTATTTATTCCATATATGGAAAATACTCTTAGGATCACTGTATCTGGATATTTATGCTGATTTATAAGTTCTACTCCTTCAAGAGCCACTAAAGTTCATGAGTCTAACCTTACTGGACAGCTTCCTAACTCACTATCATGATCCCACCAAGGTCTGTGCTTATGTCTACAACAAGGCCAAAGACCATTAAAACCCACTAAGCCTCATCTTCAGTTCCAAAATATAAAATTTAACTTGTAGAGATCTCTGACCCAAGAACCTCTACAAATACACAAAAATACTTCAGTTTAATGTTGTAAGGCTTCTTTGCAAGACAAAAGCTTTTTTTTTTCCAATAAGCATTAAATGTGTAGACTACCAAATGTTTAAAGAGGAGAGCAGAGCTTAGCCAAAATCCTAAATTACCCACAAGGAATGTAGCTGGATAAGAGTTTTTTAAAATCACGTGACGTAATCAGATGACTTGTTTTTGACCTGATCAAGGCGCATGATCCATCAAAGCTCATATCATGTCTAAACACAAACCACATTCACAGTTGTGGTCAGACATTTCAGCCCAATCATGATGAGCATGAGTGTCATGATGATTTGGGGCTTTTAATGATTCCTTTCAACTGTCGTTTTTCCAGGGTGGAATGACCTTTAATGACTTTTAAAAAGAACTGAATACACAAGACTGAATGTATGTAAATTTTGTTTGAATTCTCAATGAATAAATAAATAAATAAATATAAATGAGTCCACGACACTTCTGTCTGACTGAGCTCTTTGCCATATATGTAAAATTAAAATTCAGTGTTATATTTGTCATTTTTTTCATGCAAAGAATTAAACATGCACAGCGCTTGATCAATGATGAGAAGAGATTTGAAAGTGGCTTCAGTTTGCTGTCAGACAGCAGAAACTTACAGCGTAGGTCACATCGGAGATGTTGGTGTCGATGCCGCAGGTCCTCTGCAAGTCGCCATCATGTGAAACCACTACCTGTTCATCTTTTGTCAGGTGGCAGTCCAGCTCCAGCATATCTGTGCCGACATCCACAGCGCTGCACGATCCGACACACAGTACGCATATAGACTCAGCCGCAATCTCAAGCACACAAACATTAGCATTGAAATTTGGACCCTAATCATGCAGTATAGCACACAGATTCAATAAATGCATAAAACAGTCCACCTCTTGTCTGATTAACTAATCAAACAAAGGAGAACCACAAGGTTATATTTCACACGAACAGTTACTGTACATATTGCACCAATTCACAGCTTGATTGTGGGTAAAAGAACTAAGACAACATCTCAGATGACACACACCGTCCACAGTCACAAGTGCAAAACCCAAAGAAAGAGCTGTGTCTTATGACTTTGAAGTTTCTACTCACTGCTTGAAAGCCATCATGGTGTTTTCCAGATTTTCACCTGCCCCTGAAATAGGAAAAATAAAAACTCAGATTTCTTTTTACCTGCTTGGCTGTGAAACACATGTCTTAAAGACTGCCTTCACTCCATATGTGGGCAAAACAAGTATCTTCTGGGGGGGGGGTTCTAATTTTTATCTTTAACTCATTTCTGCAACTACTGCCCAGTAACAAATAGATGGTTATAGGACTAAAACCATAGAAGAGAAATGTGGTGACAGTCAAAACCCTGAATAACAAACCTGTTTTTACCCATGAGTAAGTAACTAGCTGTTAGTGAGACCTAAAAGAAGCAAAGTAAGTTGGGATTAAGTGGCACCTTTTACCTTTTAAGTCAAGGGCTGTTCTTAACAAAGAAAACTGGTGACCTACCTCCACGGTGAGAAATGTGCTTGCTGACGAAAGTCTCTCGCTTCTTTCGATGTAACAGATTTGGGCATTTTAGCAGCAGGGCAGAGGTGAGCACGTAGCCCGTTACCGTTGACAGGACATACACAGCAGCACACATCTTCTATCAGTCCCCTGCAGAACAAACACCAGACATTTAGCAGTGGCTGCGTCTGTCAGATAAATGTGTGGGGGTTTTTTTGTGTGTGTTTTTTAATGCAGATACATTTTTCCCACTCACCAAACGTTTTTAACTAGTTAAAAGAAAATCACAAACACTGAACAAAAACAAACCTATTTTCTTCATATTTTGCAAGGATAACAGGAAATAGGTCAAGTGAATTATTGATACATGAAGAGATTAACACACTTTAACACAGCCTGGATTTTCTTTAGCAAGTTTTCTTATAATTTCCTTAGTAGTCTTCAGGAACAGTTCTCCAGGATATTCAAAGCCTTTCCTCTGATTTTTTAGTTCTTGTTTTTAAGGACACACAGCACACTGTGCCAACATATACCAACTTTTCACTATTTCAGAATCATTTTGCCGGTGCCCATGTCTGCACTTGTCAAACTATGTTATCGTTGGATTCAGCTAAAGAAATGAGGGGGGAAAATGTGTTTTCATACAGGCTGCTGGTAACAAAATACCTAAAGATACTATTTAAAAAGGGTTCTTTGCCAAGTTGTCTGCTTTCTGTAAACACAGCAGTAGTTAATCCCTTGAGTTAGGTTCCTTTTGAATGACTTGAATGACTTGAATGACTCGTAAGTCAGTGTTAAGTACCTGAAGGTTCATGGACTGAACAGAAAATGAGTGAAAAAGCAGCCGATGTCAAACAAAAAACTTTGAAAGACCTTCAGAAAGCCGGGAGAACTATTGCTTAAGACAAATTCTTTAAAAATTACAAGAAAGTATGGCTCCTTGGAAGCACAGTATAATTGGGGTGACTCAGGTCTTTTGAACAGTACTGTATAATCTACATTTTTGTTTATCAAATACTAAGAAAAGGAAAGGCAGGAAAACACAGATCTCAGACAAATAATGTTCAAACTGAACATCTGAACTCTACATGGACCATTGTTGAGTATGTACACAGTCAACCAACAGAAGCCCACTTCAAAAAAAAACCCTCTACCATTAAATGCCACTAATGTCTCCAGCTGAGCAATTCTTAAAATAAATTCCATAAATGTACAAATGTGAGGTCCTAAAATGCAAGTTTTGTCTTAATAACATGTGAAATCTCAAAACACTGTTCAGCTAAAGCTAGTTAATACTGATTAGGAATTAAAGGAAATCAACTGAAAATATGCCCTCTCACCAAAAAATGTTTCAATTTTTGAGTTTAAGTTAAAAGAAAGAAAGAAAACAGGAAAACAGTAAACAAGACACAACAAAATTAGGCCAAAACATAAACCCAAATACACAAACGAAACAGAGTTACAGCAAGTTACTTACAGCACACTTCCTTACAAGCTCAAAAAAACAAACCAAAAACCACCCCTGGCTGAGCAGCTCCTATTTAAATGACAAAACAACACATGCTGCAGGTCAGGCCCACAAAAAAAGGCTGGGCGGAGACATCGTCAGCCTACATAGTCAAAGAAAGTCTTTTACATTTTAAAAGTTAAAAACTCTGTAAATAAAACTGGCCCAAATAAAACATATATCCAAAAAATGTTCCATTTTCATATATTCAGTTCAATTCAATTTTATTTATATAGTGCCAAATCAAAACAGCAGTTGTCACGAGGTGCTTTATATTATAAGGCAAAGACTCCACAATCAAACAACCGCCTTTGAGCAAGAACTTGGCAACAGCGGGAAGGAAAAACTGCCTTTTAATAGGAAGAAACTTCCAGCACAACCAGGCTCAGGGACGAGCAGCCATCTGCTTTGACTGGTGGGTGTGTTGGCAGGAAAACAGAACAAAAAACACACATTTACGTGAAATTGACTAATGAAAAGCAGGTAAGACTCTTTACAGTTTTGCAAATTCAAAAGAAGCATTTTCAGTCATGAGCCAGACTTTTCAGGCTGAGAAATCACCCGCTAGAGAAAATGCTGGTTTAAACACTTTGGGCAAACATGACCTATACCCACCAAAGGCAAAGTTGAACTGACTGAGGTGCTGGTGTATTGAGCCATTCCTATATTGCTCTGATTATCTTACTCCAAAAGTGCAAGTCCACATTTTACATGAATAAAGGTACCTTCATGCCTTTTACATTTCCAGCACAGAATACATCTTCCATTAAACCCATTTTATAAAGGCGAATAGATATAAAGAAGTAGCAATGAAGTACCTTATACTGTAAAATGTGTTACAAATTTACTATTACATGGTACTCTACCCCAAAAACTGAAATACTTTATAATTTCAGTTGAGAAAAGCAGAGCAAGTGAATAACTGATCCAAGGACAAAAGAATTAACATCTAAGAAATGATGAAGGATTCAGCACATATCAAAAGCGTTTCTTAAATAAAAAGACAAAATATAGCGATGTGATGCATATGCTGGGAGCCCACCCACAGAAAATGGGAATTAAAAAATGCCTTCACATATTTTTATCAGAAAAATCTAGCTCCAAATGATAAGAGATCTACCAGAACAGCAGCTCCACATATAAAAGAGAAAGAGAAATGCTTGTTTACTTTTTGTTGCAACCTCTAATTTCTTGTTCAAGTCAAAGTTGACGCTGCTGTCATATTTTCAACATTGGAAAACCTGTTAAAATAACAGATAACAACAATGACATCCATTATCTCTAAAACCAGCTTACTATACACCAGCTAAACTGTGCTAACGTTAGCTGTGAAACGGTCGAGCTAACAACATGACCCTCTTACCTTTGTCATCAAATTATTCGGACTGTTGTTCTTAGTTGTGTTAAATAAGTTAGCGCCGTCCACGTGTGTGTGAAGCGAGTTCGATAAAGTGATGAACTAGCGTCTCGTCTGCAGTCTCACTGAGCTTGGAAAAAAACAAAACACCACCACTAGCCGGCCACTTTGTCATGCCCATGCGCACTTTGCTACTTCTGGCTCGGGGACTATTTTCACTTCCTCTCGGATATTTCAAAATAAAATTTAAACGTCACGACTTTTCTAATGAAGAAAAGTCCATTGTTTTCCTGTTGTTGTTGTTTTTTAATTTTGTTATCATCAAACCTAAGTATAAGTTAACACTATTTTTACACAAAATTTCTTAGATTCACTGTTTTAAAAGCTATTATTGCTTATGAAAGAAGAAGTGTCTGGTAGCAAATATTAAAAATAAGGGGGACATGCAGAGCTGTAGTAACTACAGAGGGATCAAATTGGTACTATGAAGATATAGACAAAAATATGTCTGAAGCTAGGTTACAAAAAGAAGTGACAATCAGGTGACAGCGGTATGGCTTCATGCTGAGAAAGCACACTGCTTATGAGATCTTTGCTTTAAGAGTGTTGATGGGGAAGTACAGAGAAGGTCAGAGGGAGGTCTACTGTGTCTTTGTGGGTCTAAAGAAGGCATATGATAGGGTACTGATAGAGAGGAAATGTGGTACTGCACGAGGAAGTCAAGAGTGGCAGAAAAGCATGTGAGGGTGGTGCGGCAAATGAATGAGGGCAACAAGACAATGGTGAGGTTTGTGGTAGGAGTGACAGATGGGTTGAAGACAGAGATAGGATTACATCAGGCTATTCTTGTTTGCAGTGGTGATGGACAGGTTGGCACACGAGGTCTGGTTTCTGTGGCGTATGATGTTTGCAGACGACATGGTGATATGTAGTGAGAGTAGGGAACAGGTGAAAAAGAGCCTGAAGAGGTGGAGGTATGCTCTGGAGAGAAGAAAAATGAAGGAAGGCAGAAGAAGAAATGAAGGCTTTGCACACAGCAGAACACTTGTTTCCTTATTTATTGCAATGTATGATTAGAAAGATTTCAAACCCACTGACCCAGTTAACTGAAATGTGTCACATACAGTATATGTCTGTGAACGTTCTCAGTCATCCAGGTCACCGTAGTCAAAGGAGCTTGCAAAGAAAAGTGTCTGGACTTCTTTAAGTTGCTTGAAGACACTTCACCTGTCATCCGAGAAGCTTCTTCAGTTCTAAGGTCAAAAGGTGGGGAGTCCCAGATTTAAACCTAGTGGGAGTATCCCCCCACAGAGTGACAAAAGGACCCCAAAAGGACCCCCAGGCGCCTTAACGCCCACTCACATCCTGGGCCATCTGACCTCAGGAATTCGCATGATAAGGTGGGGCCAGGTTTCACAATGAGCTCACCCGACACCCAGTTTCACACCTTGGCTCAGGCGATTAGAGGATCATCAGGGGGTCCTTTTGTCCCTCTGTGGGGGGACACTCCCACTAGGTTTAAATCTGGGACTCCCCACCTTTTGACCTTAGAACTGAAGAAGCTTCTCGGATGAGAGGTGAAACGTCTTCAAGCAACTTAAAGAAGTCCAGACGCTTTTCTTTGCAAGCTCCTTTGACCACATACAGTATATACAATATACAAAATTTTAAAAAGTTCATGCAGAGTGTAAAAGCAGAGTGTTAATGTCACCTCCTGTTTTGGGGAGTTGTACATGCTCAATACCACCGTAGCTCAGACTAGACACACCATGATTCATTTGCTTAAAGTGGCTGGGAATTGGACTTCTGATCATGATTTCTGATGGAACAATGTTTCTTCCTTTCATTTACATCCATGAATTACCAGTGATGGGAATAACGGCGTTACAAGTAACAGCGTTATTAACGGCGTTACCTTTTTCAGTAACGAGTAATCTAACTAATTACTATTCCTATCGTTACGCCATTAGCATTACTAACAAGAAAATATTTTTCAGCAAACAGACGGTTGAAGCTGTCTTCAGCTTACCGCTTCTTAGTTGCTCAGTTGCTAGCTCCTCAGTTGCTACTTCCGTGCAACTGAGGTAGTCAGCTACTTCCGCACGGAAGTAGCTGACTACCTCAGTAATCTGGGCGCTACTGCTTTAAGCAGCTCCCGCAGGCGGCAATCACTTTCTGCCCGACGATCACTTTTTGGCACAACACCTGGAGCTAAGGGGGCAAAACAATCGCACGAGTGCTGCTGTTTGACTGAGGAAGAATAAAGTAGTTGTGGTAAGCCAATCACATGACCACTTAAAGATGACAAACCAACAAGGTGATATATACCAGTTTTTAAATTGTGCTGATAGGCCACGTAAAACCAGAGTCATGATAAACAATATATACGCAGCGTTTTTTCCTCAATAGTTTCGTCACATTTACTGTCTAAGGACAGCGCTAGCAAGCACTCTCTGCTTATGAGCAAAAAAACTAAACAAAAAAAAAAAAGATACAACATGACATTTGGTTGTTTAGGAAGAGGGGTTAGTTTTAGGCGTGATGGCCAGAGAGAGAGAGAGAGCAGAAAAAGAGAGAGAGCAAGTTTTGAGATGTGTGAGATTTGTGATGTTTAGCGTGTTTGGAGTGTGTAGTTAATGTGTTGTCTTGTGTAGTTAGTGTGTAGTGTTGTGGATAGTTTTGTGTTGTGTGTCAGAACAATGAGGCGACTGCTGAATGAAAACAGGAGGAGTGATACACCTGCTGCTGTCAGACCTGCAGGTATCAGGCTGTGATGTTCTCCTTTGTAGTGGACAGAAGTTATTTTTTTTGGAGTGGCACAAATAATTTGTGTGGCATCTTATTTAATGCAGAACAGCTGATTGTTATATAGATAGTTTGAAATGGTTATTTTTTAAAAAAAAAGGTAAAAGATAAATGGCTGCAAATAACTTTGTTGTGTGCATAGGATTTTAAAATTGACAATTTATATTTGCATTTAAAGTTATGAAATATGATTCAATAAACATGTTTGTGGTTGTTACAGTAAAAAAATATAACCTTCTTCACTCGGATTTTATGTTTTTTGTCTGATTTTAGATCAATTGTATTAATACAGTCAAAATGAAAACACAACTGTAAACTGTAAAGAATGATACAGAATGAAACTGTTTTTAAAGGTGAAATGTAGAAGTCAAATCAAAAATAGTTAAAAATGGCCAATTATACCCTGGACTCCAGAGGGTTAAACATTTTTTTTAAAAGAAACCAAAAAGTAACTTTCAAAGAAATAAATAACTTTAAAAAAATGGAAACCAAGTAACAAACGAAGAAACTTTTTTTTGAAGAAGTAACTAGTAACTATAATTAATTACTTTGTCAAAGTAACTTGCCCAACACTGTGAATTACAGGGATATGGGTAAACATGCAAGGATTTAAGGTAGTAAATGTAGATGAGTTTAAATTCCAGGGGTCAACCATCCAAACAACTAGCACAGTGCACAAAAGAGGTGTAAAAGAGAGTGCAGGCAGAGTGGAGTGGATGAAGGAGTTAGGGTTGATTTGCGTCAGAAGGATGCAAGAGTGAAAGGGAAGGGTGAGACCATCTGCTATGATGTATAGTTTGGAGACAGTGGCACAACTAAAATGACAGGAGGAAGACCCAGGATGGACAAGAGCAGCAATGAGTACATCAGGACAGCTCAGGTTGATTAGTTTGAAGAAAAGGTTTGAGAGGCTCAGCTGAGATGCTTCGACATGTGCAGAGGAGGGATGGTAGATATATTGGACAAAGGATGCTGATGAAGCTACCAGTCAGGAGGAAGACCACAGAGAAGATTCATGGATCTAGTAAAGGAGGGCACACAGAGGGATCGTAGTGATACGGTGAGATGGAGGCATGAGTCTGTGTGGCGACCCCTAAAGGCAGCAGCCAGGAAAGAAGAAGATTATTCAAACATACTACTTATGTCACAACAAAATTACACAAGTATGGCTTGCAGTAGCCCAATACAATCCACTAGATGCTGCTAACATGTAGTAATATAAGTGTATTAAATGGCATGGAGCTGGATGTACTATGGCAAAAGTGAAGACTGCAATGCAGTTAACAATCACCTGCCACCTTAAGCTCTGCAGGTGATAATTTAACACTGTGATAAAAAGAGATTAATGTCCAAGACAAAATCTTGCACATTTGTACCAGTCAAAGTTCACTTTATGCAATCAACTGCACATGGAGACGTGATCCACACCCTGGGAATACTTCGCCATCGCATTTCAACTCATTTCATGGTGCTCGAACACCATCGTCCCTAAGCTGATGTGCTGTTTTTAGCGCTACTGTTTACAAAATGTCAGAAAATTTGAAAAACATCCTGGAGGAATGGAAAGGTCTGGAAGAAGAGTATCAGCAACTTCAGGTAAGAAACTGCCCATAATCAGTTTAGAGTCTCGGGACAGCCTTGCACTGTATACTGAATATATGATGTTCTTTTACAGATCCACCGAAAGCTGAAAAAGATATATTGGATATATTTCCTGTGTTGTTGTTATAACCTTGTGTTCTTAATGTCCTGCAGGAGACACACAGAATGTATTTAAAGAAACTGGATGAACTTTCCAAACTGCAAAACAACTGCTCTTCCTCTATCTCCCGTCAGAGGACAAGAGTGAATGAGATATCCCAACTGGTGAAAAAGTAAGTGTGAGTCACACCTAGAGATACACACGTACACAGATGTACAACAACGTAAATGATATCTTGCATTGCATCATAAGAATTGTGGGGAGTTCTGCTCATTTCAGGTGTGTAAGCCTTGAATTGAGTCTTACACCTAATATAGAGAACTTTATACAACATGCCTCATTCACACACAAAAACTTTCCTACACCTAAGTGCTTTCTTTCTAACACTCACACTCAAATGAACACATCCAAGAGAAACTTGGGCTTTATACCTCGTCCCACATTCCCATAACCCTCATCCAGTGTGTTGCTACAAGACCAATGGCTGAGCAGCATTAACACTGGCTGCAAGTCTTTACAAGTCTATAACCCTAAACTGTTTTAAATGGCCATCCAAATATTAAAAATCACATTTCCACAAAAAACAAGCAAAAATGAACCTCAGCAGAACAACTGAAATACTATTGCAGTTCTAAATTTATGATTTGAACGTTTTACAGCGTTGGCACACTCACCAGTTCACCACAAGTGTTCCTTACTTACTAAATTAGTTAAATATTAATTGTGGTGGATTACACCACAAAGAAATTTAAAAGACCTGTGTAAATTCAAATTAGTGCATTAACTGGACTTTTACAGTGAATTAGCCTATGGAAAAAATAGAGCCAGTCAGATTACACACATATAGTCACAGACAGTATGGTGGAAAACATTTAGGGAGTGCATGCTGCCATGCAGATCATTTTGGGTCCTTAATTTGCATTTGCTCCAACTTTTCACCAGGTTTTATGAATTAGACTCAGTAGTTTTGGCGTGTCCTCACTGGCGAAGAAATAAACAGCAACAGTCATATCTTTGGTTTTAGACAATACAATGATGCAAAGTTATCTTGTGCTCTTATGTCACTTGTCAGATCCAGCAAAGGGTCATCAGAAGAAGATGTCAGGATTCTGGATGAAATAAAAGAGAAAATCAAGATTCGACCAAATGCTTTCTTTCAGATGGAGGCTTTCCTTCCCAAGAAAAATAGGTAATCAATAGCTTTTAAAATATAAGCTGACTTTCATTAAATAAAACACTTTTTTAACCTAAAGAGAAAAAATCATGTGGTTGTTTGATCTTACAGCCTTTACCTCAGTCTGGTTCTTGGAAACGTGAATGTCACGCTTTTCAACAAGCAGTCAAAGTAAGTTTGACCATCAAACCCAAAAGCGCCGAGTATAAATATTTGACTTTTGCATTTTTCTCTGTTGAGTCACTCTTATAGCACCGCTTTTATTTATCCAGCCACAGCTTTAATATTCAGATAAGTGCTTTCATTGGCACAGCTGTCCTCAGCTGCTGGATTTCGACAATCCTTCACTCTTTCCGAACTTGTGCTTTTGCAGATTTGCTTACAAAGATGAATATGAGAAGTTCAAGCTGTGCCTCACAGTCATTCTGCTGCTGTTCTCCTTCATTTGCTATTTCTTTGTGAGCTACAGGTAAAGCGTAATGTCATCATTAATAGCTGAATGCAACTGTGTGAGATACAAGCTGACAACGTTTCTCTAAACGTAACTCTTGGCTTTAGATTTTCTGACGTAATCCTCAATTTTCTGCTGGTGTGGTACTATTGTACCTTAACTATCAGGGAGAGTATCCTCATCACCAATGGCTCCAGGTCAGCACCTCCAATCACGATCATCTTTTTCATTAATTGCTACGACCTATTTATTAAAGAACTTGTGCATTACAGAATCAAAGGTTGGTGGGTTTTTCATCACTACATATCAGCAGTTTTGTCCAGTGTAATGCTGACTTGGTGAGTAGAATAGGTTAAAAAAAACAAAACCCTGATGCTCTTTAAAACACATTTAAACTCTAAATCTTTATTTACAAATGCCCTCCCTTTAATCCTCAAAGGCCAGAGGGAAACCTGTACCACATATTCAGGAACCAGTTCCTCGCCTACTCTCTGTATCAAAGTAAGGTCTTATTCCTTTCACACTTCCAGCTTTTCTTTTCTTTTTAAAACCAAACGAAACCCTGATGATCACTGTTTGCTTCAGGTTTCGTTCAGTGTCTGCAGTGCTATTATCAGAGCGGATGTCTGTACAGACTGCGAGCCCTGGGAGAAAGACACAACATGGATCTGACTGTTGGTGAGACACTCGTAGCAGGCAGATTTTATATTCATTAAATGAAATGTGACCACAGGCCTCGCTGTAATCATATATGGAAGTAAAAACAAACCTACAAAAATAGAAAACTGTTGTGTGCTTTCTGTATTTAGAGGGATTTCAGTCCTGGATGTGGAAAGGGCTGACGTTTCTTTTACCCTTCCTGTTTTTTGGTCATGTGAGTACAGTCTGTGTGACACTGACAAGCTTCTTCTTCTAGCTGCTTATTTTGCATTAAAAAAAAAGAAAAAAAAAAAAAAACACGCTGTCACAGGGTAGAGAACAAAAATCAAAAACACATTACACACCGGGCCACAAAAACACGACACTGAGATGAAAAAGGCACAACAACACAAAAAAACAAAAAAAATGTGTAAAAAAACACAAAAAAACTGCTGCTGCATCACCAACAAGACCCTACAATAATAAAAAAAAAGTATTATTATTTTTTACTGCTAACTCACTGTAAATCAAACAAAAAACAAAAAGAAGCAAACAAAAAAGAGACATTTCCATCATAATGGAAAAACAGGTAATTTAATTATTTTTGGTGTAAGGTGAATGGCAAGGTGGGGGGTGCCTTTATCAATGGGAAAAACTGTAAATGTTTGACACTCCTGGTTTAGATGGAATAGGCACTGATAAAAATGCTGATGTCATGTAAGACTTAATGTCGATTGTATTTAGGCGGCTGGAGACAGTGTTTGGATTTTTGCTGACCTTGATAGCAACTCGATCTTTAGCATTCCTCTGTGTCTGCGTACTACAATCACTACTTCTAAAACAAACCCTGAGGCTTCGTGTTTTGTCTCTCAGTTCTGGCAGCTCTTCAACGGGCTGTCTCTATTCAGAATGGCTCAGCTCCCAGAGTGTAAAGAATGGCAGGTCAGTGGTCTCATACACACCAGGTTTTACAGTTTCTATTCGACATCCAGTCACCATTAGCACAGATTACATGCTGGTAACTGTGTGTTTAGGATACGACTCGTCCTCTTCTGCTTACTCATGTTCTCTATGCTCTAATGTCATCCCAGGTTTCAGTGTGTGGGCTCTGCTTCCTTATTCTCTTCGCGGGAAACTTCTTCACCACTGTTGCAGTCGTTCGTCAGAAGCTAAAGACCAGGAATCAGAAGCCAAAGAACCTGTGATGCAGGAAATTATTACAAGGCGGCACGGTGGTCCTGAGTTCAATTCCACCATCAGGCCGGGGTCTTTCTGTGTGGAGTTTGCATGTTCTCCCCGTGTTTCTGTGGGTTCCCTCCGGGTACTCCGGCTTCCTCCCACCATTAAATGACATGCAGGTTGTTGGGATAGATTAATTGATTAATCCAAATTACACCATAGGTGTGAATGTGAGCGCGAATGGTTGTCTGTCTCTGTGTGTTAGCCCTGCGACAGACAGGCGACCTGTCCAGGGTGTACCCTGCCTCTCGCCCTATGACAGCTGGGATAGGCTCCAGCGCCCCCCGCGACCTTGAAAAGGATAAGCGGAAGTGAATGGATGGATGGATAGACTTATTACAAGTGCATTGCCTACAATATGCATTGTATGCATTGTATTGTGTAAAATGACTAATCACTCGCAGTTAAATGTTCAGTTATGATCCACATCACTTACATGTTCAGAGACAAGCATCACTCTCCAATAAAGTCACTATTTTACAGATTTTCTGCAATTTTGTTTGTAGCCCTTAATGTTATTTTCACAACTTCAGCTATATTTTATGTTAAATGTTATAATGAGTAATTCACATTCTATTTTATTTCTCTATGTGTTAAACTAATGATTAGCAAACAATACAGCCTGGGCTAAAAAATTAAAAAAAATCTGTGTTTTTTTCCATTTCATGTTTTATTGTTAATGCTCATTTGGTGTCATCATAATAAAGTGCCTTTACAGTTATTAATAAACAAGAAAATTGACTGAATTTCTACTTTAAACAAGGAGCAGGAAACATTCCTCAGGGATTTTGGTCCATATTGAAATGATAGCATCACTCAGTTGATAAAGTTTTGCCAGCTGCACATCCAGGATATGAATCTCCTGTTAAACCACATCCCAAAGGTGCTCTACTGGAATGAGATCTGGTGACTGTTGAGGACATTTGGAGTACAATGAACTTATTGTCTTGTTCAAGAAACCAGTTTGAGATGATCTGAGCTTTGTGACATAATGTCATATCGTGCTGGAAGCAGCCATTGGAAGACGTGTACCCTGTGCTTACAAAGGGATGGATGTGATCGGCAGGCTGTGGTTTTTAAACAATGGTTAGTTGATGTATAGTTGGTACTAATGGGCACAGTGTGCCAAGTATCCCCCATACTATTACAACATCAACTATCATTGATATAGGGCAGGAAGAAGAACAAGCAAACTCCACACAGAAAGGACACTGGATTTGAACCCTGTGAGGCAAAAAGACCAGACAACATTCTTCCATTGTCCAACTTTGGCGTCAGCTGTATCCTCAGTCTCCTGTTCTTAGCTGACAGGTGTGGCACCCAAGGTGGTCGTCTGCTTCTATAGCCCATTTGTGTCAGGGCGCAATGCCGTGTATCCAGAGATGCTCTTCTGCATTACCAACAAGAGGCAGTGGCTCTATTTGCGTTTAGAGACAGCTGAGCCGGTGTACCTATCAAAGTACATGTTTATGTGAGGTGATATTACAGAGTACAGACGTCAAGTCTACTTTGTCATGTTTTAGTAACTGAAAAAGCCTTCAGTTATTTGTATTAATGAGTAGAGAAAAAAAATCCTACAGTTCATCTGAATAGAAACAGATTAGAAGAAAATTGTGTATTTATTTATTTAATAAACATTCACTCAGTGGACAAAGATAGAGTTAGGCCTCGGTGACTGGACACAGCAGAAGTAAAGTTTTGGCTGGAATAATTAAACTGTGTACAAAGGCCAGTTTGTTTCCTTTTTATGTTGTTTTTTTTTTTTTAAATCGTGTTTACTTTAAAAGTGTACCATAGTGTACATGAACAAATACACTCTTTTCCAAACGGTGCAGGAGTTGTACTACTACTGCTATTCTTGTACTCGAGTACTCTTTAACCTTTTCATTGAGTGAGTGTCCCTAATGAAAGTATCTGAACACGCAGGCCCCACAAGCCTGACGGATTGTGGGGCTGTCACGTGTCCTTGGCACTGTGAACATAAAGTTAAACTTGCGAGGTCACGTTTGATGAGAGTACCTCTCAGTCATATGGAGTTTGTTCTGTTCGTTGTATTACATAACCCTGACCCTTCCTCTGCTGCACCTCGCCTGCTATTTACTGAGCCAGATTAGATGTGCACGGGCGAGTCTAAATTAAAAAACAACCATACAATAAATAAAATTAAGTGGGGTTTTTTTCTTTTTCTTTCTTTCTTTCTTTTTTTTTTTTTACATCATTCATTTTTAAGCTGAATCACGTCTTCAAAAAACACAGACACTCAACTTCTCCAAAAATAACATGACGAAGCTAAACGCCACTGGCCTTCACAGTTCAAACCCCACCCCCTGACACCCCCCTGCTTCCAGGACGGAGTTGGTTTGATCCTGCATGGCGTAAAGTTTCCTTCCGCGTCGAGCACGCCAAGAGTCTGCCGTAAATCCAGGAAAAGAAGAAGATAGGCTTGCACAAAGAGGAGAGAGGCAGTTAAGGTAAGATGCTGAGAAAACTCGCCTTTTATTTGGTTTACGTCGACTAGCGCTCTGTGGCAGTGTGCGGAGACTCAAACCTAAGCGATATCGGACTTACACCATCACTAGAAACCTGTAAAACAGAGCCAATATTACGCTTTTACATCAGATATTAGCTGTAGACTACAGCCGACTCCAGTGTTACGCAAACTGAGGTCAACTTGTATAATCTTTAAGCCACGAACAATTTAAAGTATAATCTGATCATCTTTAAACGTGCAATTTATAAAACTATTGCGTGTCTGCGTTCACCGGTATTTTCTGTAATGTGTTTACAGCCACCTTTGTCACTCTCCAGAACATAGTCAGAGCCCGGTTCCGCTGGGTACTATTTCTATCGTTATTTATTAATTTGTAATGTGTAAAATGGGATTAAGTCTGCTATAACAGAGCTGACACTGACACTCATAACTAGTATAACCGGTGTGTAGCGTGACATGTGTGGTACTATACGTACACACACACTCACACTCGTGGGTCAATCTGGACTGTCCCACAGCTGTTAACGCTTTCGTGACTGAAACGCATATTTATTTTAGGTGAAAGAGCTGGACCGTAGTGATGTTCCCATTGAACTGCTTCGCTTTTATCAGATTTCAGGTGTTGTTGGACATTTTTGCCCCAAATTAACAACTCACTTTATGTGGTTGTACTTTTAAACAACCACATAAAGTTCTTACTATTTTTCAAAATATGCCACTTATTAGTAGCAGCGTGTGGGTATCCGGTGGGATTTGTATGTCACTGCGGATCATTTAAGTCAGTGATCTTTTAGGGCACATGTGTTTGATATGGGTGAGGATATAGGAAAAATAAAAAGCATTATTCATATAGTTTTACCCAAGGTTTTCTTTTATGACTACATTACAGGTATCTCTGAAGGAGTCACATGCAGGTCATTAGAAAGTTACTGTGTAAAAAGGGCACCTATGATGACGCAATAACTGAACTGGCACCTTGTGAGTTGTAGATGTCTTCTTTCTGTCACAGGAAAGTAAAACTAACATTAAATACCAAGATTAGGTCGTCATTCTTTTATAAAAACAGATGTGTCAAATAAAAGGTCCAGGGGTCCAGAATCAGCCCAGCAAATCTCCAATCTGGCCCACTAGTGTGAAGGAGGACACAAAATTTGGAGTTTCAGTTTTTTAACTTTTCCGTTTTCAGTCTAAAAAAAAAAAAAAAGTAATTAAGATCCTTTTTTCCTTCCTACTATCTGCTTTTCACAGTAGATCCACAGTTACAAACTTGAGATTTAGAAAAACCTTGTTTGATAATAAAACATTCTGAGAGATTAGCTACAGAACTTTTTCTGTTAATTTTATTTATGTATTGTGAATTGAGCCCAAAGAGACAGATATTTTTGTTTGTTTGTTTTTTACAGCAGTATTTCTTTATCACGCAGAAAAACTGATATGTACTGTTGAACTTTTCCTATATGGGGGATTAAACTTCTTAACACTGACAGAAAGGGGATTTTCACAGGTCTGGCTGATTTGAAGTCGCTGTATGCAGCCCATGATGTAAAATTAGTTTGACATCCCTGGTTTTAAAATAACTTTTTAGCTGGCTTTTTACCAGGTTGAAGGTTAAGATATTGTTTCAGGGTAAGGGCTTGGCACCGGTTTGTGTTGTAACTTGAGGGTAAGAGGGTTGGGTCGGTATATGTGGCCCTTCCCCTTACACGCTGAGTGGAGTGGGCAGCAGCCAAGGGAGTAAAGGTAAAGCTTTTAGACTAAATATGAGAATAGGTTCATCCAAATGTGTAACTTCATTTTCCACATTGCGCTTACTCAGCAGTTGTAGAAATGAGCAAGGAACAAGTAAGCGTGGATGTTTAGAGATTTTATGAGTTATTAGTCATATTTGGTGAATTGTCACTGTTTTCTCGTGTCTTTAGCCTGAAGCAAATTGGCATGAGTTTTCTATGTGGCTCTATTATGTAGTGATTTACACATTTACCTAACAAGTGAAAGAGCTTAAGTTTAAGCTGGGAAGGAGACATACATTTCTTCTGGCTTGCATCAGGAAGGGAAGCTGGAGTTAAAGTTAAAAAAAAAAAAAAAAAGTTGCCAAACATGCGTAGCTACCTGCCGTTGCAACACTTTGTCACTAAGTGCGCAGCTGAAAGTAGCTTTTTAGGTAACCGTTTTCTTTGTGACAAATCGACCTTTATGTAACTCACTGTGACGTTGAGAGAAGGTGTGGGTTTTGCTCTCAGGTTGAGTTCTCTGATCCTCCCAGGAAGTCACTATGTTGTTGGAGGTGTGCCTCTTGGGTGTTTAACTTTGTCAATAGAAAATTGTACTTAGTAGTCAGTATAATCTTTTAGTGATATAAGTTTGCATATTATAGAATACTGCATGATGACCCTTTTATGACTTAGACTGTTGTTGAAATCAAGACTTGCTTTATAAATTCTTTCTCACAGTGATAAAAGCTGAGCAAGCTGTTAT